TACCGTTAGCTTTTTGCGTTTATAAAAATTTGGAAAACCTTGCGGTTTCGGAAATATAAGGTGTCAAAAATTCAAATTTTACGAATTTCAAGAGGTGATAACTTGAGAGGGGGTGGAGATGGAAAAAAATTTTCTTCAAACAAAATAAACTATTTGTTAATGTCTAAAAGCTCCTAAAATTTCAAGCTTCTACAGGCTGGGGTCTAGAAGAAAAACGACATCAAAAATTTGGAAAAAAAGGACTTTAGATAACGGTAAATTTGAACGGCCATTTTGTTTTTCTAAAGTTTAACTATAGTATATCGCGCTAGGGGAAGCAAGCTACCGCCTTTCTGCGTTTGCAAAATTTCAAAAATGGTTATGGTTTCATTGCAACAAATATTTAAAAAAGGCCATTTTTAGTGCTTTGGGGGGGTATAATTTCTAGAGGGGGGGAGATAGTTAAAAATTTTGTTCTACGGAAATAAGTTTCTAGTGAAGATCTATGTACGTATGAAATTTCAGCTTTCTATCTTAAAGGGTGTAGAAGTTTTGTAAACAAAAAAAGTGTCCACGGACGGACGGACGGACGGACGGATGGACGGACGGACGGACGGACAGAGTGAAACTAATAAGCACTTTTTTCAAAAAATTTTTTGGAAAAGTGCTAAAAAATGGCAGTTGATAGAGGGAATAAAAAAAAAGATAGGGAACCTAGGCTAAGCAAGAGAATGAAAAATAACACACAAAATGGAACGAGTAAAAAATTAAACAAAAGAATGGACTAAAAAGATATCCTCATTAAAGGATAGAAAATAATTTTTCTCTAAATAAATCTTAATTACATCTTCTTTTACACACAGATACATAATTATCTATAAATGTGTACATTTACAAATGCATACATACATATATGTGTATATACTTTGAGAAACCTTCTATGAAATTTAAATAGAAAGAAATTATATAGACATCTATAAAAATATGCTATAAATGGACAAAATAAAATGAAAGTTAAGAATTAAAATGGACAAAATCTCACCATCATTATGGAAAATTTCACACCATCACAGTTTATTTCATATTAGTAAGCAGAACGTCACGTCTTTTGTATATCCTTACGACCGTATTATGATTATTATAATTATAAATTTGTATGCTTGTTTACCTAGATTGAAAATTGTCGTTTTTTAATAAATACTAGAGGTGTAGTACATCATATTATTATACATATAGTAGTATGTATATAGAAGAAACAAAACGAAACAGAGAAAGCGAGAAATGAAAAGATGGGAGAAAAAGCGGATGTTGATAATGTAAAAAGTTGTGTACATTATAATGATAATGATTTTATAAAAGAATAAATAGAAGGGATTTTATTGTTCTTAAAATTTTTATATATAGTCTGCCTAAGAAATTAAAGAGTTGGCCAAGACAATTTTAAAAAAAATCACGTTATATCAAAAATTAATACATATGCAAACGTCCTGTAGTTATGCAGGAACATATACATGTAAATTCTATGGTTATTTTAAATTTTGATTATCGTTTTACACAATTACAACAATTATAAAAATTAATAGAATTACTTTAATTTAATTCTAATTAAATTCAAAAATAATACATGCTTATATTTTACATATATAATCAACGCAACAATTATTTATGTATGTCAAAACAGAAACCTTTATAAAATATGGGAGTATTCGTACAAATTATTGAGAATTAATTGCTTGGTTAACATTGATTTTTAGTTCCAAATAACGCTTATTTTGCGAAAAAATCAGCAAAACTATGTGTTTTAAACGCATAAACGCGTAGAATAATTATTTGAAATAAAAGTAATTCATAGGTCGTAAAATGATCTAGGGATAGTCATTTGAAAATTAACACTATTTGTGGTTCAAATTTCTATTAACATATTAAAAGAAAGAAATAAGATTTTGTTAGAATTACAAAAAAGTAAAAAAGGGTAATGTTCATCAAATTTGATTGTTTTAATTGTTTGACTTTATATTTATGTCCATTATTATTGCATTGCACAGAATAGTTTACAAGTGACAGTGTGAACCTCATACTTTCATGTTTGTGAACTAACCTCAGAACTAACACTACTTCCCCACCAAATTTCAAATTTCTTTAGATGAAATCCAGTAATTATATTCTAAATTCATTGGATCAGAAAAATAGAATTGAAAAAAAAAGTAAGATATTTATTTTTGTTTTCGAACAAAAAATTTAATTATTTAATTATTTTGATATTTTTTCATTATTACGATTCTTACAATATTTTTGCTATTCATAATAGTTTGGGACAGTTTTTGCTATAAAGTAATATAGTTTAAGAGAGCATCCACTTCTATTCCAGTACATAGCTTAATATCTTTATAGATGTCCTTTTAATCTAATTTATAGTTATAAGTTAGTTTTGATGTTCTGGTAGAAAAAAAAACAATTCCAATAAACAATTCGTCTGTTAATAGACGACTATAGACCTTAAAAAGGTAAAGTTGTACTCTTAAACTAGTATTCATGATAACCCTATAATAAATGGAAGTCGGAGTCATGATAAACTGTAAGCCGAAACATTTATTTGTTATAATGTTATAATATTAGAGAGAGAGAGAAAGAACTGGAAACTGCAACAAATATTTGCTCGAAACTGTTCTACAATATTGTAAAATTTTTTAAAATTTTTTTTCAAAAAAAAAAAAAGGAATAATAAAAGGAGTGTTATAATTAAAATATATTTGTCACAAGAATAAAATAAAATTAAGCAATAAAAGAGAAAAATCTGGAAAAATTAAAGAAGGAAAAATAAAAACGAAAAATATGCTTATTGCTCAACTCGTGGTAAAACTGCCAGTTGGTTTCTTTTTAGCACGGATTTTTTTACGAGATTTTTTTTATTTGATCTTCAACATCCTTTATGATGTTTCCTTTCTCATTCCTACAATTCTAACTTTTTCTTTATACTATTTTTCTTTATTTTTTTCCTGTTCGCTCTATTTTTATCTTTACGTTTAGAATAAAAATTGTTTCTTTTCTAATCTCTCTTTCATATTTTACTTTTTTCTTCTTCTTTTATTATTATGGTCCGGTAAAATTTAATTGAAAAGATTGAATGAATTAAAAAGATGTTTATTTTTTGTTTTGTTTTCTCTTCTCCTTTCTTTCTCTTATTAAGATTTGGGTTAATTTTGGGTTAATTTATTTTTCTCTTTCTTTAGTATTATTTTCTTTTTCTGTTTCGATCTTTTTTTTTTATTTGAAAAATTTCACATTTGAAAATCATGGGCACCTTTTGTACATTTTCTTTTTCTTATTTTTTCGTCACGACTATTTTAAGGTGATTTTTTTTAAAGGAAAAAAAAAATTATAATTAAAATAATGGTCTCTAAACAATTTAAAAGTCAAATTAAAAGTCTTTCTTTTCATTTTTGTAATTATTTATTGTAGGTAACAATTAACTTAGGACTTTATTGGTTTGATTTTTTTCACATACTTTCCTTTTTTTTCTTAAATATCCCTTTTATATAGTATACGGCTTTGATTTAAGCGGTATTCTTGAACTACAGATTAAACTTAATTAGCAAAAATTTTATTTTTCGCCCTTTTTTTATGAAATAATACTGTATTAAAATTCAAAGAAGAAAGACAAATTTTTATAATATTTTAAAGATATTTTTTTTGAATTTAATATTTTCTTCTCAAAATACTAATTTACTATTTGAATTTCTTTTTAGAAGTTTTAACATAATGTACGTCATCATATCTAGTAGTGCATTATTTCAAACTTTTAAAGCATTTGTACCGAAACTTTTTTGTTCCTGGAAATTAAATGCATAGAAAAAATGCAGAAAGCAGAAAAAATAGAGTTGGCACTATAATTGCAATATTTTTCAGAACCTATGTTACAGTTGACAAAAGGATTCATTAATAGTTCAATAGTCTTATTACTAAAATTAAGACATTTATTAGGACATTTGAATACTATTGGTTTTATGAATTCTGAAATTTGAACAAATTATTTATGGAGCGGAAACTACTGCCAGAACTTATAAAACAACAACAAAATTTTAGTGGAATAGTGGCTCTGTTATTTCATTAATTTATGCAACATTTGAACACTATAAACTTTATAGATTCTGAGACCAAATTGTTTTTAAAGTTGTATCGCATGTTTTTACGAACAAACATGGCTAAGTCGAGTCAGACACTAATAAAAAACATACATTTATATCTACATATATCTCAGGCATATATATATTTAACGTTTTTTAGCTCACCATCATAGTCCACCTCTGAATGAATTATTGAAGCGAAATAATAGACAGAACTTAAAAGAATAAAAAATATTAAAGAATATTTCTGGTTCCTTCACCTTCTTTCACTTTCTTTCTTATGTTTTTAAGAAATTCAAACAAAACGTACTCTTTTTACAATTCTTAACTTATCATCAAGTCTTGAACATTCTGCAAAAATTTGGATAATTTTTTAAATGCAAAATAAATTTTAAATTTGATATAATCAAAGAACCAAATACTGGGTATTAAAGAAACTTGAAATAATTCTTAACTGTGTTTCAGAAAAAGTGCTAAGTTGTTTTAGAATAAGTGATAAGGATTTAACGTGTGAATCTATAATTACATTTAAATACCAAATATTTCGGTTTGTACAAGATACCCTCATTTCAAAAATAATAATCCTCTAATAATTACTACATAATATTAACATCAAATTCCCAGTGTAAGCTATTTACGTACACGAAATCCTTACATAATAAAATGGATATAAAATTTAATTTAATTTTTAACGTTTTTTTTTATTTAATAATTTAAAACACATCCATTGGCAACGTTACAATTTAACATAAAAATGCACAAAGTGTGGATGGTTTTTCAAATAAAATTAAATTTTACAGTTCTGCTAATACTTTCTTCTTTAAGTGAAAAGACAAATAAAAACGCAATGTGATATTCATTATGGATCTAAATCTAATAATTACAATTAAAACTTACTATAAGCAGCACATGGTATACCAGTATAGGCATGAGCAGCATGAAGACATCTATGTGTTTTGGTTGTACATTGTAAAGCTTTTTCATAAGTATTATAATCTGGACTTAATCGTCTCTCAGCCTAAAATAAAGCAAAAGAACACATTAAAAAGTAATAAAAATCAAATGCAATCATTTCAATAATATAAAATATTAAAATTTATTTTAAAAAATATTATATAGTAAATTAAATTAACCAAAAATGTTCTTAGAAACTCATAATTTTTTATGTTACCACATACATTTTACATTATTTAAATGTTCTTATGTTCTTTGTTAGGCATTAAATAATATGTACTTAAATTTAAAATGATCAGTAAAAATCTTTTATAAAATATAAAAAGAAAATTTTCAATCCAATTGAATTAAATTTTAAAACCTTGAATATTATTATATACATATACATATATGTATGTTTTAAAATAATACCTTAATATAAAGAAATAATATTACAATATTCAATATGATAATCTGATTCCATAATTTTGTATCAAATATTTATTATAATGAACATATATATTATATAAATATATATGTATATGTATATATACATACCTCTTCGTATACTTCGTTAATATTCTGAAAATTATATGTACCAGGTTTTTGTAAGGATTTTAATGTTTCATACAAGAACATTTCAAAATTTTTAAATGTATATTCAGTATACGGATATCTTCTTAATGAACCTCCAGTTTCAGCACCTAAAGCAATACAAGATTTATGATAATCATCAACAGCTCGTTTAACTAGAACAGCCTCATTTAATTTACTAGAACGTATCTGGAGGCTTTTCAATTCTAAAAGATGTTGAAATATCTTACGCTCCATATAATATCTAAAAGTATATATTAAATATTATATGTATATATGTATATTTATATATATATAAATAATATAATATTAAAAATGTACAATAACGTTCATAATAATAAAATATAATTATTATATATTTGAAGGCACAAAAAAAAATTAATTTTTTTTCTTCTTTTTTTTTATTCCTCTTTATTTCAAGATTGATTTGAACAGGTATTGCCTGTCTGCATTTACATAGCATTGTACATAATAATAATCTTAGCAAAAAGAGAACATTTTGTATTGCTATATATTTGATTTTCTTATATTTATTTGTATATGAAACTCAAAATTAGCAAAAATATACGTTAAAATGAACATCATAATAACAAAATTAAATTGGTGGTACGTGTATGGTAACTCAAAAGATCTATACTAACGTCTTTCAAAATATATACACATAAAAAAAATTTATAACATATAAAAATGTTTTGTCATTATGCAAATAAATAAAGGATATCAAATATGTGATTTTCTATTGGGTATAGGTAAGATATACCTACATCAAATCCATACAATGTGAAGAAATAATATCTAATAAGATAGCAAAATCAAGAGCACCGAAATAAATACATACATTAAACTTAGTTAAATCAAACTTATGAATTGATTTGTGCTCATATGATTTCATAAAGTTATGCCTGATTTATTTCTTGAACCCAAATGAACGCTATGCGGCAACAGTTTTTAATTATAATGTTGTACAAAGTTAGTGAATATATCAATTAATAAACTTTGATTACAAAAGAGTAAATTAATTGTGAAAAAAATTAATTCAGATATTTAAAAGACTCAGCAAAATTTTTTTATTTATTATTCTCTAAAATTCATTTCTGTTAGAGAATAAATAAATTATAGAGAATAAAACGAATATTAATTTATTCGTTTAGAAGCTAAATTACAAACTACAAGCTAAATTACTTATTTGAAACTCATATCTTATTTGTATTGAAAGTAATTGAAAATTTGTTAAAATTTAAGATTTTGGCTCAAAAATACCAAGATATTATCATGAAAAACGAAACTTTTTACTTATTTTTTCCTTATTTTCGCTATTCTATGCATGTCTGTCGAAGTAGAGCTCTGAAGTTCCTATGAAATATAAATGATATAAAATTATAAATTTATCAAATTCGAACTATAGTTTTTCTTATTTCGTGAAAAACTTATTTTGTGTGACATTTTACATCTTTTTACTTATATTATCTTTGGTAAAAGCGCGAGAGTAAAACTTTATTAAAATCTTTCCGGTATCTACATAATACGTTATGTACACAAGTAAATTAAAAATAAAATTTGAGTAAAACGAGAATAATGTGTCATATTTTCTATTTCTATTATAACAACACTAATTTTCATATGTAAATTCGAATTTGCCATATTAAGAATTTTGTATCATACTGTAAATAAATTAGATACTAAGATGATAAATTGTCAAACGAATTTATTCAGATAAATCAAAAAATGAGTCTTAAAGAAATGAAATTGATAAGGATTTGTCCTTGAGCCATTTTTTGTTATCCTCTTTTTTATTTTCCATTTTAGATGTATGTTTGTGCGTTTATTTACCAAAATCAGTAAACCCAAAAAAAGAGAAAAAAAATTCCGAGAACTCTTGTAAAATAATAAAATAATAAAATAATGAAAGAGAAAGAATATTATTTCTGATCCATGTATGAGATTATATGCCTACATATTATATACATATGGTTTGGGAATATGGAATCATGTTCCCTTAGAATCTTAGATATACATAATAATTAAGTAGATATTGAAAATTATCTTGAAATTGAAACAAAGTAAGATACACAAATTAAATCTTTAGCAAATTGCATCAAGCATTTGATATTGCACAAAAAAGGATTTAATAAATTTTCACGTAACGCAATTAGTTAAATTTAATTAACTTTGCTCGCAACGTAATCTGCTGAAATATATACTTAAAAATACAGTAGCACAGATGGCAACGGTATTTGACTACTGAGCTAACACGTACACTAAATTGAAGCTCAGTAGTCAAGGTTGCCACCTGTGTTAAAATTGGAGAAAGCTCCCATGCTACGTAACCTAGAAAATGGACGTTTCTTAAAAATGAAAAGTTAAAATTTCAACTTTTTCGAACTTTAAAGTCATGTGATTCCGAAATCTGCAGAGATTATAACTAATGTGGATATTCATAAGAAAGCCCTTAATCTGAAGTTTCTAACTCATATTTATTAATGCGCCTGTCTTACACAGTCGCAGAGTTATACTTAAACCTTCAAAAAGTAAAAAATCAGTCGAAATTGACTTAAAGCTCCTGTAGCTCCGAACCTGCTAAACTGTGAACATGGTCTCCATACAAAAGTTTTGTCTACTCATGAGGGCCTATACAATGGCATCTAGCAGTGCACATTGTTACGAGACACCCTGTATACCGTAGAGAAACTCATTTCTTTAGATATGTTAAAAAAATATAAAGCCCTAGCGAAACTTCAACTTTCAAGTTGTACTGTTCATAAAATATTTACCAATTCATTGTTTTAACCTGAATTTAAATATTAAATTTAAACGGAATTAATTGATTACATCTGTGGAAATGCAAATATGAAGGTTAGGCTTGTAGTAAAAGTCCAGTAGATCTTGCACATAATTTCCCGGAAAAGTAACGTTGTTTTTCGCGTTGTATAGCAGAAGTTTTATACAAAACCGCAAATTAATCTGCATAATATTTTTTTTTAAAAATCTAATAATCCAGTGCCTAAAAATCTAATAATCCAGTGCCACAGACCTCACATTTCGCAGAACTTGATTAACCCGTGATATAGTCAAAGCAAACTTAGGTATAAAGTTTCATCACAATCGACTCAGCCGAAGCTCGGAGACATTAACAAAACGGAGTCTCTCCAAAAAAATTTATTTACAGTTTCCTGCCATGGAGCAGTGCATTTCCGCCGAAAGTTGGTGCTGTCATCCCAACTTTCTTAATAGAAATATTGATAATAGCGATTGGTAAAAAAATAAAATGTATTAAAAATCTCTAAATGAGAAACAAGTACACAAGTACATAATATATAAAAGTGCATAAGTGTGTAATATTTTTATAAAGCAACCTAACAAAACCATAAGTGGTTTGTTTGTACAATTATTTACTTTATTTTTTTGTACATTTTAAATAGGTAACTTTTTTAAAATTTCATTTCGATATTACAGTATTGTTTATTTTTTTATTTTAAATATTTCAAAAATATTCTGCAGCCCTCGAGTACCTACTTTCACAAAAGGTTTTTAAAATTCGTACAGTTAAGTAAATTGCCAAACAATGAAAGCCTTTTTCTACAACTTAGGTGGTTTCCAATATTTTAATATTAAACTTGAAATAAAAGACGCTGATTATTTTCTTATATATAGTTAAAAACATAAAATTGGCCCGTAGTAAAAGTCCAATTCCAGAGACCTGACATATTCCAAAAGTTGATCAAACCTTCCCATCCGTGAAAATTTTCGTGAAAATCGGTTCAGTCTAACTTGAGATACTAATCTGCACAAACAGACAGACCGACAAAAAATAGAAAAAATTAGTTTAATTACGCTTCTCTAGCACGTCGAAAATTCAACATGTGAAATTTGGTGCCATCGCATAACCTTCCTTATTGTATTGCTAATTTAATTTCGTTCGAAAAGTTTTCTTAAGCAAATAATTACTTACCTTCTAATATTTCTATGTATAGATTTTGTAACCGCCGTCATGTTACAGGAATTTTTATCACCGGGTTTACGACCTTCTATTCGACTACTACACGATCTTCCATCTATTGTTGCATAAATTGTTTTCTTCGGAACAAAACTACCGTAAGAATTATAAGATGTATTTAATTTAGTTTTTGTCGCTCTAGGACTAGGTTCAAAGCCAGAATCTTGATCGCGACTAGCTTGTTGGCCGCTCGGACTTTCTTCATCTACTTCGACACTTCTCCAGCCTCTTCCTTTACCTCCACTTTTTACTCGACGCTTAAGACGCTTCTTTCTTCCACTGCCACCATCAGAAATAGATCCAGCCATTGCCGAATGGCGACCATCTCTATTACTTACATATATTGCACCTGGTACTCCAGTTCTGAGATTTTGCTGCTCTTCGTCTTCTTCATCATCAACTTCGGCTGCATCTTCCGAGCTGTATGAAGCTTGATTATTCGTAGATTTTTTTTCTGGACTAGAAACAATTTGGAAACTACTCTTTTCATTTACAAGCATTTCGTCATTTTGTATGTCATAATTCTCAACCGACTCATCACTTTTTAGAACCGTGAAACTACTTTTACGCAAGGCAGATTCTTCAAGTTCATCCTGTTGTTCATCTATTTCACTGGCTGCAACAGGAGAATCTGGTAATAAAGTAAATGAACGTCTACTCTCTTGTTCACGTCCAATCGGAGTCAATAGATTCACTTGGGCTGCTTCTGATGCTAAACCATTTTCTTCTTTTTCTGCTATTTGAACAGTTTTCTCGATAAATTTTTCCTTCTCTATTTCATCTTCCTTTTTCCCATTTATTTCAATAGAGTCAGGTTTTTCATCAGCTTTAATTTCTTCTGTTTCCAATTTTGGCATCTGCATGTCTGCTTCGGTCTCTGTGACCTGAACATTTTCTTCACCGTCAGTTTTTGAAGATATTTCAGCAGTATCTGCATATGTAGGCACTTCTGTTTCCTTTTCAGTAACATCATCCTGCAAACTTTCTGTTTTTGTTACTTCTGCTTTCACATTTTCAGTGGAATCCATTTCTTTAACCTCTTCTTGTGGTTTTTCTTCTACCTGCTCTGAAAGAACTGTCTTCAATTCAGATTCTCCTGTATTTTCCAGTTCAGGGGGAATAGCGTCGGAAGCGTTTTTTATAATATTCTCTTCCAATACGGCAGTTTCAACTGGTACTGAAGATTCTTTTTCTGAAATATTTGCATCAATTAAGCTTTCACTATCTGGCTTGGTAGCGCTTTCTGCTGCAGGTTGATCGGATTCTTTTTCCGTATCGGTTTCACCGACTGGTATTTTTTCTAGTTTTTCTTCTGTCACTAAGGATTCTTGTAGCTCTTCTTTGCTATCTTTCAAAGGGTTTTCCGAAATTTTTTCAACTGTTTCTGTGGCATCTTTGATCACCTCATTAACTTCTTTTGAAATTTCTTCAACTGCAATTTCCGTTGATTCATCGGTTTTTGTTTTATCCTCCATTTCTGCTTCTTGTTCGGTTGGTGGTAAGGGAGACGAGGTTTCTTCGATCTCTTTATGGACTTGCACTTGAGTAACAACCAATTCCGATTTTTGTATTTCGTCATCATCTGTCAAGTCGAAAGCGCCAGATACAGGAATTGAGTCGCCAAGTACTTCGGGTTTTATAAAAGTTGCCTCTTTAGACTGCTGCCTCCTTTTTTTTGCAGACTGAGGTCGCTGGGTTTTTTCAAGAGGTGGACTTGATCTATCCACAGCGTCTTCTACTGACTCACTCTTTGCAACAGTCGATTCATTATAAATATTTCCTTTTGAATCTGTTTTCGTACTATATTTGCCTTTTTCTCTTTCAATTCTCTTTTGATTTCTAATTCTATCTGCATCATCATCATCTTCAGAATATGTTATTTCTTTGTAACGTCTTTGCTGAGAACGTTCTTTTCGTTTGGATTTCAAACGCCTTTTGTGTCTGCAGCAAACTTCGCAAGAGTCTCCTTCATCACTTGTGTAAACCCGTTCTCTAGATCTCTTTCTTCTTATTTCAATGTTACTCTTAGATCTACAAATATCACTGCAGCTATCTTGATTACCGATCTCATCAACCTCCCCACAACTACTAGTTCTTCGACGCAATCGTTTTCTATGATGCTTACATACATGGTTCACATGATGCTCTCTTTTATACCAATGTTCGGAGCAACTACAACCTGACGATTCTGAATCAGATCTCTTTGAATATACAATATACTTCTTCTGATTTTTAAGATCATGTACTTCTTCTTTTTCAGCATATTTAAGTGGCTTAACTAATTCTTGCTCGTTAAATGCATTTGGATGACGACCTGAAAGACGTAATTTACTGGCTGGAAGACCACTATTTGATTGGAGAAATTTAGCTGTAGAACGAAATCCTTTTTGTAGTGAGCAATCTAAAGGTGTCATTGCAACACCTTTACTGTTTCGATAAATGCAGTTAACATCAGCTCCAAAATCTATCAGCATTTTGCACATATCAGTGAAGTCATTATTAGCTGCAATATGCAACATCGTTCTTCCGTCGTTACTTGTCGTATTTACTTGTTTTGGTCTTTGATCCAATAGCCACTCAACAAGTTCGCGACGTCCAGAGCTTGCTGCTTCATGCAACGGTAAATCACCTTTAGCATTTCGTAACCACAAATTGGCACCACGTTCTTTTAACATTTTGACAGTTTCCAATTGACCTTTAGCGCAACCACAGTGAGCAGGTGTTCTACCCTTACGATCTTGGCGATTTGGATCTGCTTCTAAATCTAATAAACGTGATGTGGCATCAGCATGACCTAAAGTCACCGCATAATGTAAAGCTGTACAGCCATTGGAATCAATCAAATCAGTTGGCGCACCACATAAACTAATAAGAGTGTCAATACATTCAGTATGACCACGTGAAGCTGCGCAATGAAGAGCTGTTAAACCATCCCTACAAGCAGAAAATAAGAAGTGTCGTGTATAAAATATGGAATTTATTGTACTTTATTCACTAAAATATCAATCATTCATATTTGTGTTATTTTTATTACATACATTCATTGAAAGTTTTAGTTATCAAAAAAATAATTTAGTTACTTTATTTTTTTATGAAATTCCAAGCAAAAGTTCTTTTACTTACTTATCAGAACTCTCCACTCGAGCACCAGCTTTGACAAGTGCTATCACAGCCTTTGCTGAGCCAGCTGAAGCGGCCCATAACAATGGTTGGCGACCATCTTTATCTGTAACATCTACTGATGACTGTGGATGATTTAAAAGTATTGCTAAAATTTCCAATGCTAATTTGGATGATGTTGCTTGATTTAATTTGCCTTCGTAATGCGCACCACACATTTGTGCAGCGTAATGTAGTGGACTACCACCATTAATATCTGGTTTTGTAACGCTAGCACCAGCTTGTAATACTGATCGTAATGCTTCAATTTCACCACAAACTATTTAAAAAAAAAACTAATTAAATTTTATTTTGAAATTGTCGTATGAAGATTATAAATTTACATATATGTATATAAACAAAGTTTACAAAAATTCCTTTATATTGCTTTATATATTAATTTAAAATGACTTTCACAATAGTGTAACATACACCTATACTTACCGGTTGCCCAATGTACAACAGAATGGCCTTCATTGTCCACAGCATTCACATCGGCCTTATTAGCAAGAAGTAAATTGACCATAGCCAAATTACCTTGAATAACGGCCAAGTGAAGCGGTGTAAATCCATCTTCATCAGCCGACTCCAGCAATTCTGGAGCTCTAACAGCTACACTGGCGGCAGCCACGAGGTCTGTGGTTTTTTTACAGCTACTGCAATAATGTAGAACGTTCTTAAATTTACGGTCACGTCGATGAACTTTTTCTGGCTGAAAAATAACAAATCATTGGAAAATATGCCTTTTCAATTAATTCAATTTTGACTTTATTTTTAGTTGTATTCTATAATTAAACTCCTCTTTTCCTAAAATCAGTTATCACTATTTCATAAATTACAAAAGAAATATTTTTAACTAGTACAAAAATAATGAAACATTTTTAGCTAAACTAAGAGAAACTCCTATTGTGTTTTTATTTGTTTATGTTTATTGTATTCTCCTTGGCAACAGCGCCGGTTATTTTCGTTAGAAACAGTCATGTAAGGAATTGAATACACAATAGTAAAATAGTCCAAGAGGTAACACATAATCGACGAGTAATAACATTTGGAATTAAGAGTGTTGATATATTAAAATGAACTGAAATAATTTTTCCAAAATCTTATTATTATAGATTTGAAAGCATTTGCTACAGAAATATAGAATATTGTTTCTTTCAACTTTATTAATATTTATGTAATTAAACAAAACTTAACAAAATCATTTTTTTAAAGAAATAAATCAAACGAAAATCAAAAAGTTTGAAATACTAAAATTATCACTAGCCTCCTGGAATATAGCGGTACAAGTAGCGTTTTTCGCTCAAAATAGCAACAATCATGTACGTTAAGCTGTTTGTTTTTTGTTCTCACCTTCAAATTGCATTTATGTTTATTTTTATCTTAAACGCTTTTTCATAAGCTCATACTTTATTACAGGCCGCTTTGCACACAATTAGAAAAGTTCCGTGATAGTATCAAATTTCGGATGTCGAACTTTGGGTGGGAACGCATTTCAGCATGGTAGTGAAACGGAAACGAACTGGTTTTAGAAGAATATCTGTCTATTGTCCGTGTGTATTTTTATCTATCTGTCTGTCTGTCGGCTTGTGCGTATATCTCAAGTTCGGATGAACCAATTTTAAAGAAATTTTAGATGTGAGTTTATTTCGGCTACGAGGCGGATTGATCAACTTTTGGGATATATCAGACCTTAGGATCTGGACCTTTTCCCGGTTTGACATTACATTTTCGAACATATAAGGGGAAGTAATCAACCAATTTCCTTTAAATTTAATATTTAAATCTGGAGTGCTAAATCAATGAACCTATAAATTTTTTGGAAAGATCAGGACTCGAAAATCGAAGCAGGATCCGAATTCACATTTTTTACCATATCTACAGAATCTACAGCCAGCTAATGGAATTTTTTGAAATTTAATTTTTGAATTTCTAGATGTTATCGAAATATGTAGGTGATTTTTTCAGGGAATTCGGATGGTACAAAGCGAGACTTTACTAGCAATCAAATTTACACATTTTTAACAGTCGGTTATGTGATGACCACACTAAATTTATTTTATATAGGCTTTTCCGAGAAGTTTCGAATTTTAAAAGAAAAAAAAATATAATACATAATTGACTTTAGAAGGAGAATTCATTCTGTGTAACTGAAACAGCCAAATTTATGATATAGTATTGTAAAATGAAAGTCATATTGTTGACTATGAAAAATAAACGTTTTCAAATTTTGCGAGATAAATAAAATTTACTAATCCAACGTGTTCCGACAAGAAAGCGTCAATAGAATAACATAGTACTCGTATTCTATCTTAAAAAAAACAAGAATTATTTTGTTAATTGCTTCATGTACTGTCTGCACAGTTTCTTTGTTAATTGTGCAATTTAAATTCAAATTTCAGAACCATTAGTCGAAATGGTCTATCTCTGTGGTTGTTCGACTCTGAGTGAAACCAAACTAGTCACGGGGGAGCTGGCCGATATAACGTAGCTTAGCAACTGGAATTAAGATAGATTTCTCAAGAAAACCGGGTGCCTTAGATCGTACGCTCAATGATGGTTTGGCCATCACGGGGTAGTGACCCAAAACGATACATTTGGGCTAATTGGTGTATAGTGAATCTGGTACACAGGCCACGTCAATTAACCCTCTAACCAGTCCAAAAATTATAATATCTTATAATTTAGTAAAATTGGTTATAAAAAAATTTATAATTTTTTTTTTGCTATCTAAAAAAAATCAGAAAAAAGCATAATCCTTACATTTATAAAGGACACAATAAAGCAAGTCCTTATATATTTTGGTATGCTCTCTAATTATTGCATTATAAACCAGTTTTTACACTTTTAGCAATTTTAGTTACAATATTTAGTTACAATAATGTTCATACTTCTTGTTTTTACCTAAAAAATTACGTCATTATTCCAAAATTGAATTTAATTTTTGACCTAAAAACAAAAGCGAAATATTTATGTGTTTTCTAATGGTTTTATGCATTCTATATAAACATAATATCTTTATATATATGTAGATTTTTACACTTCAGTTTCTACATAACATCAAAGCAATTATATAGGTTAAACAACATAGAAACCAATATAAAAGATGCACTATGATTTAATATATTCTCGATTACTAATATTTTGTGTGCAAAGAACTATATATAGAGGGATATTAGAATAGCTAAGTTGAACATATTTTCTACAATGAGGTATTAAGAGATGTACATATGTATGTGTATAAATTGAAAAAGTATTCAAATCAAAAAATGTGAATTGAAAACCACAGCCAACAAAAGAAAAAAAATTTAGTTTTTCTCGTCTGTTTTTGGTTTTTATTTTTTTTTTAATATTCTTTTCCACATTTTACTGTTTTATATTCAAACAATGTGGTTGATAGCGTGTCCTTTTCATGCCATGCTCGAAAAAATATATTCAACAGTTACATCTGAACATAACATGTAACACTATTTATTTCAATTCAAAAACTTATTCAGTTAAAAAAAGCATAAAGTGAATGGCATTTTAATTTGCATTTTTTGCATATTTTTCGATTATGAAACCGAAGAAAAATTATATAAAATCCTTTTTCTTTTATACCCACATATATATACATATATACACATACATATGTACATTTTTCTTGAATTTACATAAATCTAAGCATACTGAATGTATATTTTTATGTAGATATGTACATATGTACATCACAAATGTATAATTTGATAGAAAATTCACAAAACATAAAATAATGATTTCTTGTTTCATAATACTAATAATAGAAAAAAGTGAGCTTACTAAAACACTTATGTGCCAATCATACATAACTATGTACATATTATGCACGGATGTCGCTTATGAAAATCATTTCAAGCAAGAGAAAACTATTAAATCGTGACCTTAAGTTTATATTGAATTCAAGTTTATTGAAATCATGTTCTAATTTTACCATATTACTTACCTAATGTGTTATGTACGAGCATGTATATAGTGTAATATGTAAAATGGAAATTTGTATGCTTTTACACTATATGCTTAGAACCATATAATAGGGATTTTTGAAATAAAAGTAGATGGTGTTTATGTTAATTTTGTACATGAACAAAAAAAAAATGACTTTATAAAATTGGAATATTTGCGGTTTTAGTATGGAATCGAAATCAAAAAACATGTAATGAATCTGTTAATAATTTTTTAAAAAACCACATTTGAAAAAAAAAATAGCATTTATGAACTTAAAATAACGAGTTCATATAAAATTAAAATAAATATAGTAAAGTTTAATTTTAAAATTTTGTAAAGTAAAAAAAATTGTAATACAACTGACACGTCAACTAATAACGATTGTATTACAAAGCAATAGAAGCGGCCATTAAGTTTAATTTACTAAGAGAGAAAAATAACTGAAGTATTTCTTTAGTTTGTCTTCGAAACAGAAAATAAACTTCACTTAAGAAATCTCATCGCTGAATGGCCCTCAATGTGTTGCGTTAGATCACCATAAATTTAAAATATAATCTAGTGAAAAATCTTTTTTTTAGAATATAGCGGGAATGAAAGCAAAATTTTGAATAAGTTTTGCAAACTATATATAATTTGAATCGAAAGTGAAAAGCGAGGTATACGAAAATTACCGTTTCTAAAAATGAAACTTATGACAGATTTCTTAACATAAAAAGAGTCTTGAACATCTTCCATAGTAATGCCTTAAAAATTTTAAATTTATTTTGATCTAAACCACAAATTCTGACTAAAATAGTCTTGTCTGGTTACAACAAAAGCCCTCTTATCATAACCGCAAGCAAAAAAATTGTATATGAAATAGCAATAAGTTGCTGCCTCAATATTTTCCAAAATATGCCAAATTATCCTTCTTTATTTACAAATCATTGGCTTGTAATGAACTTAATTTTATTAAACTTATAACACTAGCATAATATTTGCAGCATACCCGTTTGTTAACAAAACAAAATTTTTGGAAAAATTTTAAAAATTAAAATGCTGTCCTACATAAAAACCATTATTTTGAACCCATTTTATTCCTGTTTTAATCAAATCTATTTTATTACCTTTGTCAAAGTTTCATGTAGAACGCGTTATGAAGAATCTATATGTAAAAAAATTTTTGGTATGTGAAATTTTTTGTTTTCATTTTTTTTTTTTTTTTGGAAAATAGGGTATTGTCTGTTACTCTATTATGTTCTTTTGTCTACACATATATAGTTTACGCCTTATGGTAATACACAAAGTTAAATTAAAAAAAAAAATAAAATCAAAAACTGACAACAAAAGATTTTATTTATTTTTTTTTTCCTTTAATTTCTTTTTTTTTTTTTTATATTAAAAGAAAAATTCATCAGCTTTTGAATCCGAAAATTCTGCACTCTCTGTTGATAGCAAGGAATTTTTTACTTTCATTACTTTTCTGTTTCTCATTTTTTTATTTTCTGAATTTTAAAAACAAAAATTTCATGGACTTATATACACACATACATGCATACATAAAAATATTTATGGATGAATGTATACCATGACTTCTGCCTGGCATTTAACTCAATGCGAAAAATATTTTAGCAATCAAAATGAAAACGAAATTTTTTTAAATCATGATTATAATAAAAAGTAAAAACGGAAAAGTTCTGTAATATGCAGTAAATAAGACCCAGT